TATATTATATATATGTATTATATGTACATCTATATATGTACATCTATATATGTACATCTATATTATATATATATATATACATACAATTTTATATGATTGAAGATTCATAAGCCATCCAGAATTCGAAACTGATTCAGAACTGGTTGTTTGGTCGATGGAATGTAGCTTTTAACAGCGACTGACTGGCCGGCACAGAAGGGTGTGAGAGGGTGCAAGCGGATTGTACAAGCGTTTAAAAATGGACACACACCTATAGCTATTGACATTCGTTAAATTTTTTGATTTAAATCGAAATTTAAATCAAAAATCTAATTTATTCTTTTCGTATTCATAATTCGCATTTTTTCATCCTCTTCTAATCGATTGTTCTTTTCGAGTTCTATAAAATATTTGAAAATCAGAAAAGAAATCAGAAAATAATATTACCATCCTTTCGAATTCACTTTTCACAAATTACATTTTAATTTTTATATCATTATTTTTTTTTAATATAATTTAATATAATTTAACTGTTAATAAATATAAATGCTTTTTAAATTCATTGTAAAATTTATTAATTTATTATTATATAAAATTATTTGTAAACTTATTAATTTATTATAGAATCTACTATTTAATTTAGGTTTTTTATTTAATTAAGGAGAATATAAAAATGAATATAATAAAATATATATATGTATGTATATGTATTACAAGATAATAATATAATTTGATTCAATATAATATAATGTAGAAATAGTAATATATAATATAATATAATGTAGAAAGTTCAATATAATGTAGAATAATAATTTTATATACATATTTAAAAATCCTAATTTCATATTTATGAATTCTTTGTATATATAAAGGCATCCATTATATTAAAATTTATTAAGTATTCTTTATTATTTGTTACAAATCGTAATAATTTTGTTATGGAATATATAGTATTTTTAGCATACATAGTATTTATAGTTGTCATTTATAATTTATAATATATAATAATATATAATATAAAATAATACATAAGTATATTTATTTCATTTCACTTATAGACACAACATAAAATTAGAAAAATAAGTTATAAAATTAAAATCTAAAGTCAGATTTAAACTGATTATGCTCGTTGTTCCATCAATAATTTCTAATATTGTCGTACATAAGCAATATCTATCTTTAAGACACCTGTTTAAGACAAGTAAACACAATGATGGTTAATCGACCAGAACGACGATCGAACTCTGATTGAACTTGTTCTTTTGGTAGGCGTAACGAGTAAAATAATAACTCGCTATTGCTCAGCTTCCTACTCATGAATATAATTTATTCATGAAATTCGCGATTAACTGTCTTTATATAATTTTACTAGCTGCTTCATATTATATGTATTTTCGTAAAAAATAATTATATATAATAATAAAAATATATACGAAAAATAGTTCTTGTTCTTTCTTTTATCTTAATGACAATTTTTATTATTTTCTCTCTTCTTCTTTCTAATAAACTAATACGAAAAATAATTTTTATTTTTTCGTTTTCTCAATTCTCAATTCTTATTAAAATTTCTTAATTTTTTTTATTGATATATGCATATTATGCAAGAAATAAATAATATTAAATAAGAAATAAAAATTATTATTTTATTATATTAAAAGAAATTATTAATTCTTAAAAACGAAATTAATTTAAGAATTTAAAAAAAAGCAGATAATTTAAAATAAAATTGATAAATTCAGAATATTATTGATATTCGAATATATTCGGTTTAGCGGAGAAAGTGAAAACGATCGTGAGTGCAATTATAGTATTATGTCTGAGATAATCAAGGAGACAGAAGTTTTTCTATATTTACAATTTGCTTTTAAAATATTATTATTAAATTAATAAATCAAATAAATCATTTAACATATTTAAGTAAATCATTCAAACGACATTGATAATTAATTTTAAATATAACAACAAATTCTTAAAAAGATTTTAAAAATAATTTTTTTTTTTACAAATGAAAAATTTTTAGTAATTGTCTAATATTAAAAAATATGCAGATGAAAAGATTTGAGACATATAAATCTTAAATAAATATTTTAATTATTTTATAATGGAAACAAATTTTATATAAATAAATATAAATTTTAAAAGTATAACATGCTTGATACTTATTATATTTTAGAAAATTTATATATTTTTAAAAAAGAAATTTATTCCTAAAAATTTAATTTAATTTAAAATTTAATTAAAATAACATTTAGTCAAAAAAATTAAGTTCAACAAATAATATTAATCTTCCATTTTTATGAATTTTACGATCTCTGACTCGATCTCTGAACGAAGGATTTAAAATAACATAATTTAATATTCGATTTAAAATAATAACCAATCGTTAGCAATTCTGAATAATTTCAGAGAGATTTTACTTTCTTTACTGGAATTCCAAACGATTGCGAATTCTGAAATTGGTAAAGTGATTGCGTCCCTGTTCTTCGTGCACGAAGGGACTTAACAGGCTGCTCGTTGGCCAAGCCACCATCGGTTGGACAGCAACTTACTTGTCGTCCACTCCGGCACACCTGTTCACTCAGGTATGCAATCTTTTCTCTCGCTTTTTCTCTCTTTTCTCATCTTTCTTTCTCTCCCTCTTTCTTACTATGCTCGTCCCTTCCCCACTATTCTTTTATCTCTTTCTTGCTTCTCATCATGACAACAGACCAACGGTGGTTTACCGTTGTCTAGTTTGATCCTGAATCCACGGAGAGTCGGTCCATTCGCGATGTGTAAATTTCTATTGATATAAGTCATCCTATAATTTCTGCTTCATAATTATTTTTCTCTTTTTCTTTCTTTTTCTCTCCATGATCCAAAAATGTCTACTTATATATTTTTGATCGATTTGTAATTGATTATAAATTTATAATTAATTAAATTTAATTATATTTTTATATACTTTAATTGTTATTCATTTGATGATTATTAATATTTCTTTATTCATATAATAGTTGAAGAGAAAATTGTCTTTTTTTTACAATTTTCTTTACAATAACGGTGCTTCTAAGTTTCCATTTATTCCTTGCTGTGAAAAATTTATTTTCATAATTCTGTCTTTTTCAGATTGTTTCGGATTGATTGGAAAAAATATAGAAATTCTTGATTTAATCGAACAGAAAAATTATACAATATGTTATAGAATTATACAATACTCCAATAAATATAAATATCTTTTTTATCAGTTATTATAGTTACTATAGTTTGTAATAATATTTCTTGAAAAATAATGCTAGTAAGAAAATCAATTCGCAATTTTTAATTAAAATCAATTAAGATTCTGTTTATAAAAATATATTCTTATAATAGTAGAATTATTATCTATTAAAGATAATAAATTCTGATAATTTTAATAGTTAGTTTTAAAATTAAAACTATATAAAACTAAAATTATTATTAAAATATATTCATGTATAAATTATAATACAAAGTCTATTAAAAATCTATAAAAATTTATTATAATACAAAAATATAAATATAATTTAGATGAATTTAAAAATGAAATAATATAAAGCTAGTTATTACAATTTCATGATATTTTTTAAATATAATCTATCTGAAGTATGTATACAGAAATACAGATATGAAACGAATTGTCAGCAAGCTTAAATCTTCAATGCATTTCAAGAACACGTTATTAGACTTTTAGATATTAAATAATACAATAGACACAAACAAAAATTCGTATATTTCTATATTTTTTACTTATATAAAATATAATTAACAAAGTTCACACATCTTTAGTAACACATTTTTGAACAATTGATTATAGAAATTAAAACAAACAAAAAAGTTAATATAAAAAAACGTCAATTAAAATGTTATTTATTGAGTTATAAGTAAGTATTAAACTTTATGTTAGATGAAATAAGACAAAGACAGATTGAAATAGCATGACGATAGTGTAACAAAGAGCCATAATGTAATATAACATAAGCCATTTTCATTAAAATAATTAATTATTTTGTTATTATTTTTTTTTGAATTACAATAAATTTAATTTCAAATATTTTAGCGATTATTATATATTAGATATAATATTATATTAAAACATTATAATATTATATTATATATTAAAACATTAATTATTTAAATAAAATTTTCAAAAACAAAACAAATGAAACATATAAAACAAATTTTCGGATTGAAATAAATAAATTAATTAAAGATAACTATGATATAAATAATAATAATAATAAAGTTCTTTAACACAATTATTTATTTTTTCTTAACACATTCTTTAACACATTCAATATCTCAAAATAATCAATATTATAAAAATAATATATTATTTTTATATCATTTCTTCTATATATGTTAATAATTATAATTTCTATCTCTCTTATACATATATATATATATATATATACAAAATTAATATATATAAGTATAAGATATTAATATATTTACGAAACACTTTTGAAAGATCAATTCTAAAAGTCAGAACAAACACAAAAATTGATATATAAAAATATCGATTGAGATTTAACTATTAAATAATAAACAATAAAAATTCATATTATATCATATTATATAAAGCGAAATAGAAATAGAATAAAATCACTCTGATACATTGCTATTGTTTTCGTCTCGCTTCATCTAATGCGAGCTTAAATTGTTTATAATTTAATAAATAAAATTCGTTATTTTTGTATATCAATTTTTGTATTTATATGTTGTTTTGTTTTTTCTAGAATCTACCTTCCAAAAATATCCTAAAATATATTAAAAATATATTAATTCTTTGTATAAATTAATTCTTTGTATAAATTCATTTATATTTAAAAATATAAATATATTTGGATGTTTAAAGGATTTTTAAAAATGTATGTAGGATATTTAAAAAAGATTTCAAAATTCAAATAGTATATCATACTGAATAAATAAAATAAAGATAAGTAAAGAAAAGATATAGAAATAAGTTAGTAAATATAGATCAAAATTTAATCGTTTTCAAGATGATTATTTTTTATTTTATATTAGCATTAATTTACTAGCATGATTAATTTATTAATTGCTAGCTTTTACATATCATGGCATAAAATATTTTTTTTAGTGTTTATATAAATTGCTTTCTGAATGTTTTCATATTTTCATACATACTTAATAACAGAACAATTTTTTACTAATAAATGATTTAAGAAAATCGAATCCAATAATCTTATGAAATAATTCGATAAAAATTTGGAATTTTCGAAAAAATTCACAAAGAAAAAATGCCAAGTATATATGGAAATAGAAGAAGAATATGTGAAATGAATGAATATCTTCTATAACTATTGACAAGTCAATCATAATATTAATATAATTGATAAGTTAATTCATACTAATACAAAACAAAAAATGATTATATCTTGCATCTAGAAACGATTGAATTTTCTATATTTATTCTATCAATTTATTCAATCTATCTATCTATTCAATCTGCATATTAAAATTTTTTTACTTAATATAATATGTTCTATGTACTATATATATTTTTTTTACATTTCAATGTCTGATTTAATTATAAATATTGATCTGAAAATTAATTTCTATCAAAAATCATAGATTCGTGTAGAATTTGTTTTAACACTCTCGTTCCATCTTTGAGTTTGCAATATCTATATGATGGACATTGTTCTGTAAAAGCTTTCTGCAAGTATTTTTGTAAAAATATAGTATTGCTTTCTTCTTCATTTGTCACATTCCAAATATTAATAAAGTATATTGTATATGTACAAATATCATTCATTCCAGAAAAAGACCAGGCGCATATATATACCTGAAGCAAATGAAAATAAATTTTTTTTTCTCTTTAAATAAATTTTTTTTGTATTCTTTTGTAGATATAAAATAATATGTAAATATATTTAAACATAAATAAATATTTTTTCTTTATTTAATCATGTTATATTGTTACTTACATTGATCTTTAGAATTCGTGCGCAAGAATTCATCGTATCAAGAATCAAGGAACATATTCTGGCGATGTGAAAATTTCGTGATATTTCGCTTTCTTTATAATCATTGATATAGGTGTCAAAGTCGTCGATTAAAAGAATAGATGGTAAACTGGCAAAGGTATGCAACTCAATCATTCGTTCTACAAGAGATTCGTAGTTCTTCAAATACCTACGATATTAATTTCCATGCATTCAAATAATTTATATAATAATTTTATAATAAGACTATTTATTATTTTACATAATATAATTCTATTATAAGATAATCTAATTTATTCAATTAAAAATATTTTTTAACATTTTAAAAAAGTATAGACATATAACAGATTCCATTTAAATTGAAATAATTAAATATTTATTAATTTATTTATTGATATATTATTTCATTATATCTATTTAATTTTTCTTTTCCTATTATAAACAAATCTATAATTAGACATAATATTATATGAAAATAATATAAATCCATAATTTTTT